TAAACATTCAACAACTAGAAGATTCGTAGAAGAAGAAGCAGTCATTGGTGAGGGATTTAAAGAAGAGTGAGAAAAATGAGAGTAAGGGGTGGAAGAGTGAGAGCTGAAATGAGCAACAATAGGAGCAAGAGTTAGAAATGGACAAGTGAATAGGTAAGAGCGCGAGAATTGGGTCTTTATACCTTCTTCTCTAAGTTTCTCATTTAACTTAACGGGTTAAATAGGTCCAAGCTATTTGGGTTTTCATTTGACCCATGTGGGGTTAGGGCCCTTATTTTAATTTCAAAGGTCCTAAAAGCACATTTTGGACCTCTTACCAAGAAAATTTCCTTCAAAGAAACATCTTGTTACCTTTTAAGGGAATAAAATATGCTTCGAAATGCTTGACTTGGCCTCGAAATGGATGGGTTGCTTTGAGGCCAGTATTTGCTAGAATGTTGAAGCCTATATTTTAACATGTATGGAGTTAGGACCTATTTAACACATCGAAAGTCTTGAAAGTACTCTTTCTTAGACTTTCTATCAAGAAGATTTCCTTCGAAGGCATATTTTACCACATTTTCGAAGAAAAGAAAGGGTGCTTTGAAGTGCTTTGCTTGGCTAAAAAATGAATGGTTTATTTTGAAGCCAATATTTGATGATTTCTTAATAGGTTTTGAGATTAAGAGTTTCCATGTTAGCAAATATAAAACATGAAATTGATAAAAGTGAAACCCATGTTTTAAATTTCAGAGGTTTTGAAAGCAGACTTTCTACCAAGAAAATTTCCTACAAAGGAATATTTTACTACCATTTTAAGGAAAGAAAGTGTGCTTAAAAGTCCTGGACTTGGCTTCAAAATGAATGATTTACTCTGGAGCCAATATTTTCTAATATGTTAATGAGTTTTGTGATTAAAGGCTTGTATATTAGCAAATCCAAACCGTGAAATTGGCATAAAGAAACCCATATTTTAATGTCAAAGGTTTTTGAAGCACATTGTTGACTTTTTTCCAAAAAATTTCCTTCAAGGAATACTTTACTACCTTCTGAGGAATGAAATTATGCTTCTAAACACTTGACTAGGCTTCATAATAGATGGGCTACTTCAAAACTAGCATTTGCTAGTATGTAAACAAGTTTGGGATATGCATATTGACAAATACAAACCATGCAATTGGAAGCAAGAAACGTGAATTTTATTGAATAAATAAATAATTACATTGAGGGGCCTATTTGGTTACATTCTCAATTTTGTAAAAATAAGGAATGGAAAAGGTTATGAGGTCATGGAACTTAGTCTACCAAAACTCAATGAATATATGTTCTCACTCTAACCTTTCCTCTATCCTATCTAATTAGGGCTTCTCTAGCTGGTGTGCCCTTATTTGGTGGAAAAACTGATGGGCCTTCATTTCAAATTCTATTTGCGTCATTGCCTTCTCCACCTCATCCATTCCATCCATCCCATCCATGTCGGCATCTTCTCTGTATATCGAATCATGGTTCTTGAAGTCTTCATATTCTTCAAGGAGATTCTCTGTTTCGTATTGGGTTTGAATATGAGCAGCAGAGATCTCCTGCAATGATTCGCTGGTGGACGAGGCATTTTTGTGCTAGTTGAGCAAAAGAGAAAGTTGGTCCAGGAAGGTATGGAGTTCTATCTGGGCCTCTACATTGAGGATGTGGCTTCGAGAGACGATATCATAAGCCCATAGAAGGTTCTTGTGAGGGGTGTCATCTCGAAGCATTTCGAAAGATAGGTGGGAGGAAGCAACAAATAAAGTTTGGGCTTTGTACTGCTGATAGGCAGTAAGGAGAGCTAGGGCCTGATAGGGGGCGCAGTGCTGGTCCCTAAAGAGAGTGAGCTTTAATTCCTCAATCCAGTTAGGATTATGAGGAAGGAAAGGAGCAGTTGGGTCCCCTCCAAAGAAAGGTGGAAACTGGGGCTCATTCATACACTCTAGCCAGTTAGAAGAGTAGAGTTTTGCCTTCTTGGCTAAGTGTGAGGGACTCAGTTTCAGAACCTCGATTGGGTGAGGGGTCTTCCGCACTATTTTGGTCAGCAAGATGGAGGTATACCATGCCAAAAGCAAATTATCTTCGAGGTGACAAAGGCTGTCAAATGGTACATATGGGTAGACCACGAAGCTGTGAGAAGAAGGAGGAATTGAAGTAGGGTCATCGAATTCAACAAGCCTATGGTGAATTCGCTTCCTTGTCTGAAGTTGGGTACATTTTGGCCAGGCATTCCAACCAGTAGTTTTGGTAGAAGATGAGGTAGCTTTATCCCATGCAGAGATCTTTGAAGCAGATGAACAGCCTACGCGATCCATTTGAGGAAGTTTTTATTCTAAAGGTACATATTCTGCAAAAAGCCTTCATAACTTGTATAAATAGAGGAACACAAATATGGCTAATAAATGCATGAGAGTTCTTTCGAGGTTGGTCATCTGTAGCTGGTTTTTCACGCTCCTCGGAGGGGTTTAGTCTCCTCGGATGCGATTCCCTACAGTTCGAACTCCTGTGGTTCTGAATCTAGTTCCCCAAGTGCAATGTGAAACAGAAAAACGAATGAGAGTCCAAATCTGGCAAATCGCAGAAAATCTATTAATCATCAGAGATGCCAAAAATGGACTGCATTGCTAGATTTTAGAGTCGCCACCTAAATATTTTGGAAAATTCAGGAAACCCATAACTCGTGCCAAAGGCCACTTGTCCGTCATAACCAAAGCGTCTCGGTTCAAGAACTTAGCTATGAGAGGAGGAGGTCATGAATTGAGCACCCCACTCACCTAATCAAAGATTAGCCTCTACTAAATCATGATGCGAATTTTATAGACATTATATGCTCATATTCTGATTATTAATATACTAACATTACTGTGTGAAGCAAACAAATATAGACTACGTCACTTACTTTGGAATGCTTTGATTTCATGCTTTCTTGAGAAGAGTTTTTTTGAATATGTACAACTTAAAGGAAAAGCTAGCTCATATGTACAATAATCAAAGTCATTCCAACTTAAGCGAAATAGCCTTCATCCACTAGCATTCAAAGAGGTATTTAAGTAAACTAGTAACTTCATGGTAGTATGCTCAACATGGCAACACAAACATACACGCGATATGCCAAAGCAAAAAATGCTCACCTAGTACTCAAACGAGGCAAGCCAAGGAAAAGAAGATAGTTAGGACAATGAATGATCCTAATATGCAAAATGGCTAATACGACACATACAACAACACAATTACTAAAGCATGAGGTACCGCACATAATTAAGTAGGAAATTATTAATGATATCAAGTATGATGAGCTGAACTTTAATGTATGCAAAAAAGGATGCAAAGCATGGAAATGATAAAAGAAAATATGATGCTATACAATTACGGTAAGCATGCAAATAAAAGGGAGAAAGAAATGGGGGTTGAAGACATACAAATATTACAAATTTGCCCTCGTACAAGAGGGTCCGAATGTCCTAATTAATTAATTAATTATTACAAACACAAATGAATTAACTAACTAACTAACTAATTATTACCTAATTATTACAAAATACAAATCTCAAAACTACTAATTTAAAGGACTTGAATGAGAGGCAGAGAATCGTGTGCACACAAGCAAGAACATCTTTCGGAAACTTCTCTGTTTGTTGCCAGAAGTTGCCCTGTTCGCAGTTAGAGAGCATTTTTGTTTTGGCCTCAAGATCTGCTCTGTTTTTCTAAAAAATCACCACTGCCATACAACATGCTTGACTGGTCAGCCTAATCAGATGGTCGGCCATATAGAACAATGACCGGCCGGGCACTATTCTTGAGGAAAACCCTGTTGCCACAGAACTGGAACAGAGCAAGACAAAGGGTTTCCAAAAGATGTTCATCCTTCCTACTCCCTCATGTCATGAAGATTTTCAGGGATGGAATAGGTTTGCTTCCCAAATCATCAACCATAGCAAGTTTGTTGCATGATGATTTTAAAAGTACTAGGAGAAGACTTAGCTAAACACAAAAAAGGCTATTCTCCTTACCTCCTTCCTATCATGAATTTATTGAAGAAAGAGGTAGACATGCTTCACAAAGCATCAAACATCACAAGATAGTAAGTGATGATTATAGAGCAACTAAAATGAAAAATAATAACAACTCAAAAATTGTGACGACCCCGCCTCATATAATATTTTATATTTGGTTAATTAAGGAGATTTGAGATTTTAATTAGTCGTTATCCTAATTTAATTTGGGATTTATGAGAATTGTAGAATCTGATTTGTATATGATTCTATTAAAGATTTATTTTGGAATTAGAAATTAAGGGTCCAAATGGCTTAAGGAAGTGAAACTAAGAAGTTGAATCAATTTAATTTTAATTACGGACCCATTTGAGAGTTTAATTAAATATTCGATTCAATTAAGTAAAATTGGGATTCGATTAATTAGGTCCGAATTGGAGTTAATTAAGTTAGTTAAATTATGAGGATTGAGAATTATGATTATTATGAATTAAAATTATTTATGAGGTGTGCAATTTAAGCATATGATTTATTTATAAGGATTTTGGGTCTGACTTGAAATTGAAGGCCTTAGCGATTTGAGACACTCAAATTGATGATGGCAATAAGTTTAATTTAATATTTGGAGCCTTTTGGGAGTGTGATTAAAAATCTGATTCAGATTCGGAAAATTACATATAATTAATTGGGTCTTAATTGAAGTGCATGAGGCTAACTAAATTACGTGAAATTTGTGATTAGTTGCAATTAATTAAATTATGTGTTAATCAAGATTTATTACGACTACTTATTAATTACAATTAGATAAGATTAAGTGGTGTTTAGTTAATCTAATATGTAATTAATAGACTAATCTAATGCCTACTCAACTTACTCACCACATTGGTGTATAGTGAAGAGAAGATGAGATTGTTCTAGAATTTAGTGGAGGGACATAACATTGTGCTGGACTTCATAAATTGAAGGGAGAAATGCATGCCTATTGATTGTGTTGCCTGAGACAAGTGTCCCACTACCTAATAATAAATAATAATAAAAGAAGTGATTGAAGTCAATAAGGAAGAAGTGGTATGTATTGTCTTTGGTTCATCAACCTGTTCAGCTGGAGGTAAATTCGAGAGAGAGAGAACACTTGCTGGAAATTTTGGAAGCAAGAAGAACAACTCAAGTCTTGTGTTGAAATGGGAAGAAGTAAACTCAAGAAATTCAACCATTGAAGGCTTAAGGTAAGAAATTGAACCTTTAATTTTGTAGATAAATCACCTAAAACTTGAAATTAAGAGATGGTTGGTTCAATCTCATGTGATTACAAAGAAATTAGCAAGAGGATGAAGAAATTAAGTTAGATTCATGGTTTTGGAAATTGATTTAGAAATAAATTATTTTTGGTTTGATTTTGTAGTATCTTCTTATAATACTTGAGATTGAGAAGGATTTGAGATTATGTTCATGGAATTAGAAAGAAATTGGGTTTTGAACATGAAATGGGTTAAATGCATGTTCATGGTTATGGAAATAAACTTGGGAATTAATTATGTTGAGTTTGATTTTTGTAATCTTGCATGAATTTGAGTTTTATTTCTACATGCATGAACAAATTTTATAAGTTTTAATAATCTAATTGTACATGCATCGTAGGTTTTCTAGAATTGATTTCATGTTTTGATGAAATTAGAACTAAGCCTTGGAAAATTATGAGTCTATGAACAAATGAGTTCAATTTTTAAATTAAAGGAATTTTGATGTAAATGATTTAAAAATTGATCATATTCTTTTTGATCAATTAAGAGTTTGTGTGTTTCTAAACAAGCCATGTATGAACCCAAGTTTTGAGATTACATTTTGAAAGTTTAATTCATATTTTAGAATTTATGAGTTTGAAATTGGGTTTGATATGAAGAAAAATTAATTTGGATAAATCAAGAAATTAATTATGATTTAGAATTTGACAATCAAGAATTGACTTGATTTTAATTTGAATTTCATGCTAGCAAATATTTTTTCTAAGAGCTTGTAGCTTAATTTTATGTTTAGTAAGAAAGGAAGAAAAGTATTAAAATCGTTAAATTCATGGAGATTTAAGAGTTAGAAAAGACTTTAAATATATATGTTTTTGGAAGTGTCATTGCATATTTGAATGTATTATACATGGAGTAGACCTTTGGAAATGTGTTTTGAGCCACAAACAGAATTCTGGAAATTTCAGAATTTGACCTGTCCGCTCGAGCGAGGAAAGTGTCGCTCGAGCGGGGAAATCGAGCTTCTAGAAATTTTGTAAATTTTGTAGTCCGCTCAAGCGACTAAAGCTGTGCTCGAGCGGAGTACCCCGTTTCAGAAAATTTTAAAAAGTTGGTTCATATTTTGATTTCCATTCTCTTTCACATCTAAGCACTCTTAGGCATGTGCTGAGGATTATAAATGAACTATAGAGTTGGAAGGAGCCTAAGAGAATTAAACGAATTAAAGAACGAAATGAATTGTATTGTGACCCGATTTCTATGTGTATTACGAATTGTGTAGGGTCAAGTGCAAGGACGAATCGAGCATCGGAACATTGTGAGTATTATCTTAGTAAAGATATTTTCATGTATATTATTTTCCAAATGCTACTCATGTGTAAGTTTTCTAGACTTGCGAATTTCAATTATGAATTAGCATTCTATCCGTTTGAATATTTTGATGGGCCAAAGGCTGTTTGAATATTTTGATGGGCCAAAGGCTGTTTGAATATCGTGATGGGCCAAAGGCCGTTTGAATATCATGATGGGCCAAAGGCCATTTGAATATGAATGTAATGGGCCAAAGGCCATTTGAATATGAATGTAATGGGCCAAAGGCCGTTTGAATGAAAAGTGATTATGATCATGAATATGAAATGCACATAGATATGAATATGGAAGTACTGGGCCCGAGGCCGTTTGATACGCTGAAGTATTTGAATTGGGCCCGAGGCCATTTGATGTGTTTGATAAGAGTCTAAATGGGCCTGAGGCCATTTGACAGGTACAAGAAAAACACAGAATGGGCCTAAGGCTGTTTGTATATGAAATTTACGGGTTCGATGTACTTAATATGAATCTCATTCGTATAACCTCTTTACTATGGTATTATTCACTGGGCTTTCGCTCACTCTTTGTATATATGTCTGTAGGTGAGTAGCAAGATGCCCAACCCCAACCGTAACGAACCCAAGTAAGAATGTCAAGTTTGTGGAGTCAACCATGACATGCCTCACGAACAAGGCGATACTTTTAAACTTTCATTTTGACCCTTTTGTCTTCTTTTGATGGTCATGTTTGATCTTATCTGTATATAAGCTATGGTTTTGTATAAATATGGTGTTGCATGGACCTAGACATAGAATGTCTTTGATGGGGTATGTTTGGTGTGAGTTATTAATATAAGAAATGTTTTTGTTCATTTCATTTATGCACAGGCTCATTGGACAAATATTATCTTTTTGCTTCTGCTTTTGGTCCCATATGATTATTTAAATTTTTTTTTTCTGTCTGAGGCCGTAGGTAATCTAATGATTACCGGTCGATTATGATCCTAACCTTTAGGGGCGGGTTCAGGTCATGAGAAAAATTGTTGTCAAATCCTCTCCCTACTCATGGAATAAGGATGAAACATTCACTTATATGCTTCAAAGTGGAACTAGGAGAGAGTTTTCAACACTTCTCGATAAAGACCTCTCTAGGAGCAACAAAGCAAGGAAGGAAAAAAAATTAAGAAGCAAGCTTAAACACATGACTCATCAAAGTTGTTGACAACTCCTCTTCTATTCATGGAACAAGGATGAGACATCCATTTCCATGTTTCGAAAATGATCAATAAAAGAGTTTTTCAACACTTTGAACACGGAAACTACTACCTAGCTTCAAGGCGGACAACAATAATATGAAACAAAGAAATTTATAGCTAGTTAAGCAAACTTGTGGCGGGGTGGCTAAGCCTAAGCTCTCATCCTTCCATGACCATAAGGTTCCAAGATACATAAGGAAAGCTATAAGGATCAAAGTAAAGCGATCAACTCAAATAGATTGACCGCTATATCCTAAACACGCCAAATCCGTGAGGACTTACAACAATACAAATATGATATTCAAAGCATAAATTAAACATTAAACAACCCATAAACATCGGAAAAAAAAAGTGAAAAAACTAAGAGAAATCAAGAAAAAAAAAGAGAGAGAGTGAAACAGTGTTTTGAGTTGTTTTGGGGGGCGAAAAAAAAAAACTAAGTTCTTACACACTGTTTTGAGTTGTTTTGGGGGGCTAAAAAACTAAGAGAAATTAAGCTTAAAGAAAGGTGGCTAACCTCTCCATTTTTTGTAACTTTTAATCACATATTTTAGCCCCCCAAAACAACTCAAAACAGTGTGTAAAACAAGAAAAACAAAGGAAGAGAGTGAAACAGAAGTAAAGAAGAATTTGCAAATTTATACCTCTTGGAAAGAGAGGTAAGTTCTTAGTTAACAAACTTGATGATTCCAAACAACCTCAAGTATCTGAAATAAGGTTTCAAATTTCAGCAAAAAGCTTCAAGTTTGAGCTTCAATGGTGTATCTATAGTGTATTATATTCAAGAGGGTAGAGAAGTGCTTTGGACTGCCTTCTAAGCTCTTAGGAAAATTTTATTCAACCCCTAAAACATGAGGAGAGGGGTTTTATTTATAGATTTTGAAACATTTTGGTCGTAAATATCTTCAAAAAGGATAGGTGGCCAAAATTTCGTGCATGGGAGCAGCCTGTTGTAGCTGAAATATTTGTTACGCTGAAGATTACTTCAACAATTATTAGCCACTTCGACGGTTATCAGCCACTTCGACAGTTATCATCAGAGCCTGTAAATAGAGGAGAAGACTAGTAGTGAAATGGACCCAGAACCAGATCTAGAAACCAGTTTATTTACTTCACATTTTTCTTTCCAATTCTTTATTTCCAGCCCTTTGCTTTCATGCATTGCATTTCAAATTCCTACGAGTAGTTCTAAGTTAGTCTGTTACTGTAACTCCTTCGAAGTTCAAAAAGTGCGAATGTACAATTGTAAACTCTTGTTTACTTACTAAAATTTGATATCTGACACTGTTTATGCCTCTTTCTTTTACTTTTGTGATTAGTCTTCTGAATTTTTTCCTAAAACAAGCCACCACTAAAAGTCCTCTTCATTGAGGCTAAAAAGAAGTTTGAAGCAATCATCTAATTAATTGGTTGCCATTTACTATCTTTGGAAGGACTTATTGATCCTTACTGGCACGCTCTAATTATGTTTTTAACGTTCGTAAGCCAAAGAAAGCCAACACCGCCGAAGAGATTTCTAACGAGATATTCAACTGAGATACCATTGTTCATAGTGACAAGGAGACAGAGACCATCGTTTATGAGAGAATGAGAAGAGATGGACAATCAATTCATCTCTCAATCGTTTGTTGTTCTCAATCGTCTATTGTTCTTAATCATCTCTCAATTGTTCATTGTTGAGGTTCTGCAAAATTAGGTGGGTGTGCACTTGAGTGTGATGATATTATGAATATGGGTAAAATTGGTATTAAGTGGAGTATTCAAAGAAATTTTATTAAATTTTAGGGTTTAAGGTGGGAGTTCAAAGAAATGGGGGTCCAAAAAATTAAGTGTGTGTTAATAGCATCCCTCATAATTAATACTCTATATTTTCCACCAATCATACTATTATGAAGCACCACGTGATCGTACTTCTAAATTACCGAATAATCACCCAAAAAAGGACACCCCATTGTTGTTGTCATTGTTCATTAAATGCAATGTCTAATTAATTTTCTAAAAACTTTGTTGTGACACATTACAATCTATCAGGAAAATACTTCCAAGGCAATGGTAGGTAATGAATTGTCCAAAAACTTCATTGTTCATTAAATACAATGTCTAATTAATTTTCTGAAAGCTTTATTGTGCCACATGTCACAATCTATCAGGCAAATACTTCCAACTTCAATGTTCGTTAAATACAATGTCTAATTCATTTTGTAAGAACTTTATTGTGCCACATATCACAATCTATCAGGCAAATACTTCCAAGGAAATGATTTCGACAACATTGGGTTGATCACCCTAGTGAGCATTAATATATTTAGACTTGCAGAAATGTTTTTAGTTATCAAGGTTTTCATTGAGGTTTATTTCATCATTAATCTATTTCAGTTATTTACTACTTTGTAGTTGGTGGCATGTCTTCATTGACTAGCTAGTATGGCAGCATATGTAAACCGGTTTGATTTATAATTAGGGAGCATTAGGTATGGTATTATAATATCTTAAAAACTTGACCATGTTGTTTACTTGTTTTTCAAGTTGTTTGGATAGACGAGCTAACACAATATAAAATCTATATAGATAAACTTATTTTCTCCATCTATACTTCTTCTTATATATACACAAGTTCTAATTTATGTATACGCACAAACAAAAGAAAAGTCCTCATATTTAATATAATAATCACTCAAGTGATACATAACCTTTCACATGAATTGTCATTATAACTCACCATAATGCATGCATAATTAGTTGAGAGTAATAAACTCACACTCAAACCCTTTCAATTCATCACATTGCATTATTATGTAATTATTAATTACAGTTTATGACATGATAAATGTATACACCTAAATGCTCGACAATATATATATATATATATTATATTAAAATAACATAAGTGTATGTATGCACTGACAAATTTCCATGATTGCAACATTTAAAATAGATTGGAATAGGAAAATAGCTTTCGATTATCTACTCCCCCAAAAATCATATTTTGGAACTTGATGATGCAGTTCGTCCTGGGTGGATGGGTCGGGCTGGTCCAAGCTCTTCAAGTTCCGATCCAGGCGGATGATTCCACCAGATGACCTGCAAGCAAGTCCAAAGGGGAACGGGGTAGTCCCCCAGTGAACCCTCCGGCGAGCAAATCAGTAGAGGAAGAAGGAAATATATATAGAGAGAGAGATAGAAAAGCTTAACCTTCCTCTTGTCTTCGATTCTTGCTTATATCCTTTGGTAATCATTTCACTGTCCCTTGCGACGTGCCCCCTTCCGCCGAAAGCCTGTGCCGTAGCTTACCTTGTTCAGGGTGAGGGGGCTCTGTTCCGACGGGGAGGTGTTGTCGTAATAAATGCTGTGATGGGCTACATTAATGGTGATGTGTTGTGGCAATAACTCTGCAGATCTTTGTCTGCTGATGTGGCCTGTGTTTGACCTGCCATGTGCCCGAATGTCATTGGCCCTCCATGCCCAGATGGCCTCCAGCTGTCCTGGGCTTTGCCAGCCAGGTTATGCTATGGGTCCCAAGCGATAGGTTTGGGGTTGTTTGCTATGGGCTGTAAGCCTCATGGGCCTATCCATGTCAGAACTAAATAGAAATTTAACAGAATTAAGGACGCTTATGAATTCTAAGAGGAAATGTAAATGTAATTCTATACTGTTATATTCCAAATTTGGAAAATAATCAAATAGTTGTGTGACTAAAAATTACATTTTCAAACTAAGAAAGTGATCCCCACCATTCCTTAGGTAGGAATGTGGATCATTTAAGAGTAAAGAAATTAGTTGAGTTCATAAGTTTTAAATTTTTATTATTATTATTTTTTGAAGGCATTCAAATAGTGCCACAAAAACATGTTTTTGTTGTAGTGAAATCGAACACAAATAATATTGACGTAAAAATTCTATTATTAATAATATGATTCCTATTTCTCCTATTTATTAATTCCTGTAATCTGAACATAATGATTTGAAGTCATATGTCAATTGTTGAAAAGTTGAGGTTGAGGGAATATTATTGACTATGGTTTCATTATTAAGACTTTACGCATTAACAGTTTGTGAAGCTAGTTGTATCCAAAGAGAGACGGGAGAACATTGCCGACCACGGAGATATGCCGGGGGAGTGCACCACATCTAAGCTTTGTCTTATTATTACTCTTCATACATGGTAAAAGATATAAACTCTATTATTCAGAAATATGTTATAAACCATTAAAATTTACTTAAAATTTTTCCTTAAAACCAACCAGTGGCGGAGCCAGAATATTAAATCAGAGGGGGCACTTATTGATTACAACTTTAGTTTTTTTTCTATAACCAACAGTAAGAAGATAATAATAATTTTTGAATTAATAATAAGTACAAAAACTTAAATAAATTATTACAAAAGCATTTCACATAAATTTTACAATTAATTTCAAGTAAAACTGAAACGAAAGTATTGCATTTAACTAGTATATCATAAGCAATGTAAAAAAATCTTATATTTACGTCTTAAAATAGACTATATAATGGTAAGATAAATCAAATTTTTACAAAATTTGAGTAAAAATTTAACATAATAGTGATATCA